TGCCTGCTAAGGAGGTCTTGCCCCTGAGAAGAGGTAGCCCGGTATTTTCAACCCTTTTGTATCCAGCTGTAGTCGCTGAATACAAAAGCACATTATCCGCTGTTGTGCACTTTGATCTGTGCAAAAACAGTTGAAATGTTTTCTGGATCTTAAGTTGCCAAATTTCCCACTAAACCTTGGGCGGTGAACATCCTTCCAAAATCAACCTCCTATTTTTCTGGCTTTTGAGCGATTTTCGCCTCAAAAAAATTCTGTGCTCCAAATGGCCATGCGTAAGACCTCGGCATACCTGGGAACCCAATTTGAGTTTGTGTGGCCCCTGCATAGGCAGAAAATATTCTGAAATTTACAGCCTCCTTCCTCTTCCGGCTTCCGCATAATAATTTCTCCCACCAAAACATTCACGGGAACGTTAAGACTCAGACGTAAGTGAAAGCCGAATTTTAGTTTGCAGGATCGTACGTGGGCAGGGGACAATAGCTCAAAATTTCAACTTCCCAGCTTTCCTGGTTTCCAAGATAATTTTCCTCGCCAGAACTTTCACAGGATCGTATTCGGTACCCAAACCAAGGGGAAAGCTGAGTTAAAAGTTGCGGAGTTGTGCTTGGGCAGGGGACACTATCGTAAAATTTCAGCTCTCTAGCTTTTGTAGTTCTCGAGATAATAATTACCCGCCAAAGCTTTCACAAAGCTAAACGTGGTACCCGAGCGAGCGGGAAGGCTGAATTTAAATTTGGGGAGCCGTACGTGGGCAGAGGTCATTACCCTCAGCCTCCTAACTTTCATAGTTCGCAAGATAATAATTCCCCTGCCAAAACTTTCACCGGGTCGTGCGCGGCACTCAAGGGCAAGGAAAGATTGAAATTAGATTGGTGGGGCCAAAGGTAGGCGAGGAACATCATCCTAAAATTTCAGTTTTTGTGGTTCCCGAGTTGAAAGTTGCGGGCATGATGCATCGAACATACACTCATACACACAGACAACCTCGCGACAATATGCGTTTCGCGCAGCTGTTACACAGCACAGAACGCATAATCAGCGGAAAAAGTAGAGCAATTTGCCAATCCCTTACCAATCTTCTTTTCGAGTCTCTGCCATTCGAACGGAGCTCGTTTTTTCGAGCTAAAATACGTTGACAGTGACAGAGCATTTCGTCCACCATCTTTCACTCGACCAATTTTGTTATCAGCCTAAAAATTCGACAGATCAGAGGTCGCGAAAACTGCCCCCTTAAAATACCGAACATTTTGAAATTTAAATTATAACCTCTAGACGCTTGTTTCGAGTATCATCGATTTCACGTAAAAGCATCTGAATTCGTTGCGAACGAGCAATTCCATCCGTTGTAGAGTGTGGCCTAGTTTTAGACAAATTTGCAAAGCAAGCGTCGTCGTTCATTTTGTTATCGAAAAAACAACCGTTCACCAAACCAGAATCTGTCAAGAAAAAGGAATAAAAATTGAAAACGTGCTGCTCGAGGCTTTAGATACCTTTATCAGTGTCTCATAAAACTTTCGTCGAAACCTAAGGTACAATGCAAGATTTCTAATGCAGAATATAGAAGAAGGTACCTGGAGCGTTGCTCCCTATAAAATGTGCAACGCATGCATCCACCGACTTGGCCAACATCTAAAAACGACATTTTTTATGGACAATGCACTTTGGCCTCATCATGGCGATCGCAGCGGAACCTCGATTTTAGTTC